ATAATAATATAAATGAATAATAAGAAGAATGAATAAAATTATAAAGAAAATAATTAATTAAAAATATTAATAATCTATAGTGATCATTATAAGTAATAAGAATCAAAAGTGGCACAAACTATACATAGAAAAAACTTGACTATGTACAGCATGTATAATCATATTTTAATGATAGTTTATTTATCAATGTGACATAAAAATAAACCTAAAAAAAAATAATCCTTAGTTTTCTCTCTTTTTTTATTACAAATGAAAGAAATCCCAATTATTAATTAATGAGAGACTGTAAGTCATCTTTGGAAATGTAATGTCTGTGATGCCCCAACTTTAGCAAAAAAAAGTGGTGTTCCCCTCTCTACAGCATATAAATATGTCACTCAACTAAAAAAAAATAATAAACTCAAGCCTATTTCTTGCCTGAAACATCCCATAATTTTAACTTCTCAAGATCAACATGCATTAAGAAAAATCATTATAAATAACAAGTATCTTATCTGTGGTAAAATTGCTACAAAACTTCAATCCAAGGTTGAAATATCCACATGAACAGTAAACTATGAACTTAATAAGCTTGGATATCATTCAAAACTTTCAAAAATCATGCCTCTGCTTTCAGAAAAATATCATCTAACTCGAGTGAAATAGGTAAAAAAATATTGCAAAAAAAACTGGAAAATTGTAGTATTCTCAGATAAAATCACATTTTAAATATTCTGAAATACTATAAATGCATTTTACAAAGATGAAATAAATATTCCACAGAAGAGAGTTCCAAAACATCTAGAGAAAGTTTATGTTTGGGGTATATTTTTTGCATGTGGAATAATTAGTTTTCATATATTTACCCAAAATATGAATGCAGTATTTTATCATGAAATTTTAACTAATAATCTTTTTGAAAATGCACATAGAATTATGGGAGAATGTTAGATCTTTCAACAAGATAATAATTCAAAATATCGAGTTATAAAAACAAAAATATTCATTTATTATCAGGTTCCAAAGCTTTTTAAATGATCATCCTATAGTCCTGATCTTAATCTAATAAAAAATCTCTAGGTAATTATCAAGAAAAGAGTGAAGAAATGAGTCAATGAAATAGTTCAAAAAGAAAAATCAATTAGCATTAGTCATTAGCATAGATTAATTAGGAAGAAATAGGAGAATATTATCATGAACTTGTGTCTTAACCTGATAAAGAAAATATCAGGTCATATAAATGAGATAATTGAAAATGATGGAAAAAAAATAAACTATTAATGTATATACATTTTTTGAATGCCTATATTTGACCTATATTTCTGTAAAATTATAAGTCAAATAAATAAAATTTGCAAAATTTATGGTCATAATAATGATTCTCATTACTTATAATAATCACTATAAATTAATAATTGTGATATACATAGTGATCATCTGAGTAATAATATGTTAAATCTAGATGTATTAAATACATAATGATCATCTGTGTATCCAGAGTAAAAATGATCTTCATAAAAATATAATACAAAGCTAATCTGTTATACAGATAGTACAAAATGAAGATCTAAGCTAAAAGAGATTTAAAGGAAGATAATCCAATCAAAATTGTTATATTTAACTTTTAACTATCAAATTTAAATATAATATAATAATTGTATTTATAGATAAGTTATCTAAAAGAGCATACTTTATATCTACTACTATAATAGTAATAATATTTGATATTATAAAGATATTTTTTAAAAATATTTTTAAATTATATAGCTTACTTATAATCATAATATCAAACAGAGATGCTAAATTCACAAATCACTTTTAAAAGTCTTTTTTTGAATAACTTAAAATAAAACTTACTATATCAATTATATTTCATTCTCAAATAGATAATCAAATAGTAAGATTAAATAGAATCTTAGAAGAAATATTAAGAATATATATAATATATTAATAAAACAGATAGAATAAAAATCTAGTTGCAGCAGAATTTGCTTATAATAATAACAAGAATACTTTAATAAGTTATATATTCTTTGAATTAGATTATAAATAGATATCTTATACATCAATTAATATTTTGTCATCATAAAATAATATAGTAATATCACAAGATTTCATGAAGTATTAAAATATTATGATAAAAATAACAAAAAATCTATTACTTGAAGCACAAGATAGATAAAGTAAATATATAAATTAGCACAAAAGATTTAAAGAATTTAATATTAAAGATAAAGTTCTTTTTTTTACTCACAATATTAAAATTCCAGTTAATAAATAATAATAAATAAAAGACAATCAAAAAGCTTAAATTAAAGTTCATAGATCTCTTTGAAATTATTACAAAAATATTTTCTATTACTTATAAACTGCAATTACTAATAAATAAGAAATTATATTTGATATTTTATATATTTCTTTTGAAGAAATATAATCCAGATAATAAATTTAACAGATATCAATCACCATTAGTAATTATTAATTATTATATTAGATAATGAAGAAGAATATGAGGTAGAAAATATTCTTGATAAAAGAATTCATTATTACAAATCTCAATATCTTGTTAAATAGCTTGATTATCCTCTCTATAATGCAACTTGAAAATCTAGAAAATTTGAAAAATATTATGAAGAAGATTAATATCTTTGAAAAATCACATACTTAAATATAATAAGAATATTATATTTTAAGTAGAAGGATATGTAATAATTTTGATTAGATTATCTTCCTCATGTATACCTATATTATTAATTTAGATTATTAATATTTTTAATTAGATATTCTTTTAATAATTCTTTATATTTTTACTCATTTTCTTTTATCATTATTTATATTATTATTTATTATTATTTATAATTATTGAATTATGATTAGTTGCCCTCTGGAGATGCAAATTAAGTTAATTAATATTTCTTTTTCTTTACAAATTGTTCATTATATTCTTTATCTAGAAAATCATTCATTTTCTTATCTTCTGATGATTTAGACTTTACGTATATAGATAATACAGTCGAAGATGAATTGGAAACTCGAGACTGTGTTTTTTCTTGATGTTTATCAGAATTTATAGTATTAGATGCAATAGTATGTTTACTCTTTGGCCATGTCGGCTTTCGGCTGAGAAAGATTTATCCCTTTAGTAGTATTGTTAGAATTTATTTTAGGAGAAATAGATAATTCCTTAGGAATCGATTCAATGAGCTGTGCATTCTTTTTATCGGGCGAAGTTTATTAATCTGTTAAACTAATACCAATATATAAGCATTATCGATTTTGTGGGACCAGCATAAACATTGTATAATGAATCAATTCACTAAATAACATCACAAAACCAAACTTTTTGATAATGCTCTTTTTATCTGCTTTAATTACAGTATATCACAAGACCATGGCAAAACAATTGAGGGTGGTGGAGTCTCTGTGCCCATGGCAACTAGTTCTTGCCTAAGATCAATTGAATTTTGAGCTTGTAAGTTCACTGTATCCACGCAGTCCATAATCGCTTTCTGTACGTAAAGATAAGGTAATGAGAGAATATTTCGTGATGAGACTTAGAATAAAATGAAGACGGAATCACCTTCAACATCCATACACTTGTCAGCACCCTAATAAGATCCTGTATTTTTTCGACTGTAACTGGCACCTCAAGGAGCTTCTCTCGTTTTAATATTGACACGTATCCCTTAGGACTATTCAGATGTAGCACTTGTGTTTTAAGATCTATTGTAATTCAAGTTAACTCAGTTTATTAATTGCTATAATGCAAAATTCCTTATTTGACTTACCCAAGTGAAGCATACCAACTACTCTTAGTTTCCTTACTTTCGTTCTTCGAAATTGACTTGTTTACTCAGGCATATTAGCATATCGTGCATGGCTTTACTCAATTTATATATTCAATATAATTGACATATGTCCTAAATATTCCATCCATACGGGATCCCATCGTCTTACGTTTGATATTCTTGTGACGTGTACGTATCCTCTTTCAGTTTTTTCTTGCAGATACTGCCCCACTTGTTGACTCCTTTCTATAAAAAAAAGTAAGCAGAAAATCAAAAATATACAGGAATGATCGTAGCAAGAATATACCTAACAGTCTCTATCCCAATTAAGTTTTGGAGACCATGATCAATTATTAGTGACCACACATTAATGTCATGCCAAGATTCAAGATGTGATTTATGCAGTATTCCATTGGGATCTTCATAATTTGTAAGGCTTTTTTTTATTATTATTAAAGCTCTCGCAACATCACAAATAAGAAACATACTTACTACTTTCTCATTACTATATCTACCCATTCAGCATCATAGTGTTTCTCTCGGTCATAAGGCTCATCCATATTTCGGTAGGATGTTGTTTCTAGGATGTGTCTTAGCTCACTTGTTGTTTTAACCTGATGTTGGCAATATCATAAATAAATTTAGACAAATTGAAAAATGATCACATCTTCAACTTACATTGGCAAATCGCATCAATGACTCAACAAAGGTTTCGTCAACCTTTGGTAACCTTCTGACTTCACGGCGTATTTCTTTCAGTTCTGTAACTGTAAATAGTGCCTCTATCTCCTGATCATCCAAATCAACGATCCATGAATGGAGTGATTCGGATAATAATTTATTGCAATGCTCGAAGATAGCATCCTCGACGCACGTTCCAGTTGATAGAATCCACTTTTGAGTCTTTTTCATTTTTGCGTAGGACTCATCAAAACACTTGAACTGTGATAATGTCAGCAATGGTGGAGGATTCTGATCCTCATCATTACTTGTAATATGAATAGAAGTGAAGTTATGAGCCTAAGAAAAAAAAATCGAAGAAAAATAATTATTATATGATACCTTGCCACGTAATCTGAATCTTCCTCCTCAGGTATAGGTATGTAATCCGCGTTATCATCCTCCTCGGATGTAGGGGAGCCATGTGCTTCATCGACCTAAAAAGAATATCACTAATTAGCAATTATTCAGTCTTTAATTGCTATGAATGATCAGAACGTCGTGATAACTGAATAATTCGCTTCAATATGAAACCGTACCTTGTCTTTCTCGTCATCCGCTTCGTTGGCAATGCTTCGTTCACTGCTTAATTTTCGCCGTTTCTTGGTTGAGTTGTCTGTTTTTTGCGAAAATAGATTGGACGATTTTGTTTCGGAGGGACTTTTAAAGAACTTGTCGATCTCGTCGCTTTCATCATGATCATCCTGACATTGAAATACAAAAATTAGTTCTTTTTGTTCTAATATTCTAGAAAAGATGCAAGTATATACGTTTTCTTAAAACCACCAATAAAAATTTACCTTGGGTTTGTTTTGTTCGAAGATAAATTTTGATACTCTTTCATTTGCCTTTTCACAATTATCGTAGCTATTACGAACACTCTCTCCATTAAACTGTACTGACGTTTGAAGAGTGTGAAGACCTTCTTTGTCTGTCACTAACTTCGTTTCGATCTATGATTTTTTAGAAACATTAATAAATATAATAAAATGAGATGCGCACAAACTCTACCCACTTTCATACGATCAAGAAT